AACATATCAAACATCTGTACGACACACCAAATATGCCTTTTTTGATCTGTTATCTCATAGTGTTTCTAATGTGGGAACATGACTGCACCCGAAAAAGTGGATGGTAGGGTATAATATATTTTATCAAGCTCGAGACAAATTGAGGAATGTACAATTACGAATAGCGCTACCTTTTTTGAAGCTAACATACATAGCATACTGATAAGAGGAAAAAAGGAAAGGGTCGCTATTATTTGGTAGGTGAAAGCGATTTGTAGAGTTTTAATTAATCAATATATGTGCGAAAGGCGAAACCAAAACAAACAAATTTCACAACTGTCAAATTACTGGAAATTGTTTCTGATATTCAAATGGAAATCGGTAAAACCTTCAGGGCAAAATGACAGTCTGTAAGTGGGTGCATGATTTAAAAAATAACGTCTATTGTCGTTAGCAAAGTGCAGCTGAAACAAAATATTGAATTAATTTAGAACCTTCTTAAATTGAAAAAGAGAAAAAGCTGATAACGATGTTTTATTTAGATTGTCGGGGGTCATTGTACTGCAAGTTTCGCTAAATGTCGCAATTTTCCACGCTCAAGAATCTAGCTGGGATTAAAAGAAGTAATCATTCTGATTTTAAGTGTCAATTCATTATTTTGATAAAAGGGTGTCACCGGCCATGTACACATTGTAATTGATTTTCACAAACACTTGGAAATTTGTGCCCTAGAATAATGGAATGGTGCCAGCAAGCAACTGCATGATCTAAAGTAGGCCAGACGGTAGAAATGAATAAGAAACTTTAAGAAACTCACAGCAGGTAAAAAACAAGAAGGAGGATTGTTTTGGGTTCAGTCTCATGGCTTTTGAATTATTTATTATTTCCGCTGCGCTTTTATCATCATTACTTCGAAACCGAGAGACTCATCGTAACTAGAAACATCCAACTTCCCATGGAAAATAGTTGTTTTCATTGCTNCGCAGAAAGCACTCCCTGGAATACCACGTTACGATAGAAACGGCTGCTTTACGCAGTGTCAAGCAAACAACATCCTAGAGCTATGTGGGTGTAGAATGACCGGAGTACCTTGTAAGTATAACACGTCTGATCATGCAGCTAATCAAGTTGACTGAGGCAGAAATACACAAGAAATATCGAGTTTCAAATTGGCGAAATTTTAAGAATATTTTAAGAATAAACGCAGAGCTAAGATTTCGGAAATAATGTAATTTTCTGAGTTGAAAATTTCTAAATGCAATACAATATCTATGTTTAATTTTAACTAAATGGTATAAAATTCCTCCTTTCTCTAAACGGCACCAGTACACCAGCTTACCACCAAAACGACAAAAACAGCACTATCTGTATATTCGACGCTAACAACGTTTCTGCAAGGAGTTATGAGGGTCACATGGGGCTTTAAACTAAGAATGTTCATAAGAATACTTTCAGCCAAAACCGGCAGAAAAATAAGAATATTCAGCCTGGCCAGAAACCCAATTTTTTTTAAAAGAAAAAAAGAGTGTACACGAATTATTTGTTCTTTTCTTTGCAGTGCCATCTAACTTACCTGTATGTACATTTCAACACGAATTCTGTAAGGAACAGAGTGAAGGTAAGTATTGCTGACAAAGTTGTCCTTGTTTCTCCCATCGAATCGAAAGGGGTTTTACCTGAGATCAGTTCTATAATACTTGAATTTTTTTTAAAAAGTAAATCCGTCCTGAACGGATTGAAAGGTTGATGTCTTCTCTTTCATTACAGAAAACCCAATAAATAGTTAGTGATCGTGATGAACAAGGGCAAACTTGAGAAACTTAGTAGAAATGATTTAAGTTGTGTTATGTGCGTGTACTTTTTCCTTATGGTTAGGGGTTAGGGCTAGTGCAGTCAAAATGCAAGAGGATTTAGATGAAATGGAGGCTAGCCGTTGTGGTCAATTTGTTGTAGTCGTTAAAAGGGCAGGGATCTTAGTTTTCCTGGGACTTTGTTTCAATTTTACAGAAGAGTTGTCACGCGAAAAAAACCTGTATTCCTTTTGCTTTCAAGTTCAAAAGTTATATCTTGTACATGTTACCAAGAAAGCTAACGTGCCATTAGATTTGACTTTCTCCTGGCAAAACCTAAAACCTTTTCGCATTGTGAAAAACACTGCCTCCGTAATTTCCTTTTAGCATGGCAGAACCCTTTTGAATGTTCTTGCGGAATTCCTTGCGAAGAGATCGAGTACATCGCTCAGGTGTCTTACTCTGAATTTCCGGATGACGGCGCAGCCAAGATCTTAAAACACAACCATGCTTATAACAAAAGTATGGAATACCAAAGGTAAAAGCATCTCTAATTCGCATTAAAGGGGCTAGCTTAAAAATGTCATTCATTCTTAGCTTCTATAGGTGGAAGTTCTCAACTAAGTGTGATAGATGCATGAGTGAACTTAACGTTGGCACAACTGTTGGACTACCTGTTCTCACCTGCCTGCTCGCTGACTGTCTGACTTGAATACTAACTGCTGACCGAACTAGGCGATTGTCTGACTGACTGACTGACTGACTATGTTATTATCTGAAGATAAACATTATTATCTGACAATAAAACCAGTTTCATAAACCTTCGCCACAGAGTCACCCATGCCATTGTGGATCAATCTTTTTTCGGGAATATTTCTAGTAGTTAGAATGAAATGTTTGAGATCTCGACGTATCTTAACCTTGACAAGACACTAAAACAGCGACATATACAAGCAAATACACCATGTTTGACGTACTGTATCTTTCAGGGGAAGCTTGGTATTCCTTCAAGTTGGCTTTCATCATTACGGATACACTTTTGTGACGGAAACACCAAGTTATAGAATGGGGAGTTTGTTAGGTAACAACTGAGCTGACCTTTTGCCGCCTCAAAACTGTTTCGCTTTTGGCAAAACTGAAACAAAATACTTTGAAAGGGAGGGGAACGACAGAAAAGTTCAGAAGGACTGGGTTCTAGTGATCTTAAGGTAGCCCGTTAAAGACCTGGTAAAAGAAAAAAAAAGAAATTTAAGATAATTTAAGTCACACCCACAGAACGACATTCCGGTAAATTATAAGTATTCTATTCAAAATTTCTCTAAACTTAAATGCATGGTGTAAACCTCTTTAATCGTTGTCATAAAGCCATGAAAGACGATGAACTACAGCAAAAACGCCTTAAATGATCGTGGGGTTAGAATGTTCTTACTTTGGTTCCTCTTTGTAATTTCTTGTACATTTTTCTGCCTGAATACTATTTATAATTAGCCATACTTAGGTCACTCCATAATTTGACAGTGGACATCCTCCCTGTTTCAGGTGATATTGGCGG